CTTCGAATACCGGATCGACCTGTTTGAATTTTCAAAGAATGTGGAGACAACCATAATTTTGTTAAATAACATCTTAAATTGAAAGGCAAAATCTTCAAGCACTTTTTCAGAAATGTATTTTTTATAACTATACATTAAAAGTTCCAATCTTTTTTAGCATACGTCTATTGCTTTTCCTCCCTCAATACATCAATAATGAATTATTATTCTATCTCAACATGTTCACGAATGACAATGAATAAAGATAAGAAGTTATTAATGAAATGATTTCTAAAAGACACTGCTGAAGTAAAAAGACATTTCATTTTACAAATTATTTTCTTATATTACAAAAAAAAGTTAAGGGAGGAAATGGCAGATACAAATGACCATTTTTTGAGATGTCAATTAAAAACATAACAAAAAAAGGTTTTTAACATATAGAGAACAGTAATGTTTCTTTTATCAAGATTGGAGATTCATTTTGATACATGATAAAGTAATTATATTTTTTGCTGATGATGTTCCTTGTTAAATTGGCTGATTGAATCTTTGATTATCTGTGATAAAAAAGAACCAGCAATATCAAACGAAATTAAACAAATTGAGAAAAAATATATATGACTTCCAATTATGCGACAAAATTTTCGTCATGAATAAGTGTATCATCATAAGAAAAAGACAATTTAGTTTTTATATAACGTTAATGAATGTCATATGCAAGTTGGAAAATGGTTATAAAGTATTCAAATATACGATTTGACGAACAATAGAAAATATGGTGTAAACATTATTTTATAATATTTAACTCGTCTTGAAGCGAAATCAATGCACAAATGCATTACACAATTTAACATAATTTAGGTTTTGGAAGTTTAACGTTATGTAAATGTTCATCAAATTAATATTCCTTGAATGAATATTGTGAATAATGTTTATTTGTCTTTACTTGCCCATTTAATTGTTACAAATTCAAATTAGATTGGAACAAAATTTCACTTTCAAAGACTTGAAGCCAGAACAGTAGGACCGTGACCTACATTTCCTTTTTCATACATTTGTTTCAATTATGATATTTTTTCAATCATGCAAATGTTAATAAAAAAAATTATTTTGACAAAGTAAGTATATCATTCTTTGTATTGTGTAAAAGAGACAAAAAACATCTAGTTACTTTCTTTATGTTACATAATTGTGAAAATGCTACCTTAAAAGAGCAAATGTCCAGTAAATAAAAACAAGAATTGTATATATTTATTCAGTTTCTATTACGGAAACAGTTTTATATTAATGAAAAAGAATCAGTTCAAATAAATAAGGAAATACGTCACATTTAGTAAATCTAAATACAAAAATAATGTATTATACAAATTTTCAAGTTGACTGAAAAAAGTCAAGGTCTTCTACTAATCTAAAATTTCGTTTAAGTGATGAATTAGTTTTGTCCAAATTGAAAGCTGGCCAAATCCATTGAAGAAAGTTTTAGCAAGGAATAAAAGAGTTTCATTTTATCGAACAAAAAATGAAAAGGCTTGAATTGTGAATTCTCTTTCTAATATTTTCTGTAGGGAATTTGTGAAATTATCGTCTGTAGTAAAAACAGAATAATTGAAAATCCTTTCTTGCTGTTTAGAAATTTTATCAGCTGTATTTGGTGATACTTGATTGGTTTCATTGAATCACTTTAAATCAAATTGTGTTGATCGCTGTATCACTTTGATAATATATTCAAACATAATCTATTATAGTTATCCAAGCAAAAGTGTTCGGTATTGAAACAAGTTTATAACTTTTCTTAAGAATTTTAGTATTTTGTTTAGTACATTTCAGTATCAATAATGAAATACATGTTATCAAATATTGTTTGTTTGAATAAAGCAAGAAATTTTAATGTCTGTAAATCATACAAGAAAACAAGTTAAATGTTGATGCTGCACACCAAAGACGCCACCAAATGATGTGAACAGTCAATCTGCATTGTAAATCGTTCTCTATTACACTTGAATAATGCCAGGTCTGAAATTCTTAAATGTTTGTCTGTTGCGACAAAGACTAAAACGTCTGGTCGAATCAAAATAAATTGGATAACAAATAAAATTGAAATGATTTGGTATACTTAACTAAATAAATTCAAGACAATATTTGCCGAGAAAATACCCATTTAAATACTTGTATGAGTTGCATAATGTTCTAATGATTTTGAGGACAAACTGTTCTGCAGTGATCTCCCCTTACAGGCCGTAGCGTAACCGGTTTGTTGTACTTTCTTTACGGTTGAGTGAGAACCGCCTCTCTGATTGTGGGCGTGGTTTAGGCTTTGTAATTTGTAATTTAATGATTCGACAAGTGATATTGATCAAAGCTGTCCTGGTTCCCTTCTACCCGTCAACGAAGACTAAATGCTAGCATATGGAGCATAATATCAAATTTAATATGACAATTTAAGGCGGAGCCGAACTTCAACAGAGGCGGAGCAAATGAAGTAAGTGGCACTGCCTCAGTTGTCACCTCTCTCAACGGTTAAGTTTTAGAACGATCGACTATAGACTGGCTCATTGGCACGTTATTTATTATGTAGATAAAATTTGATAATAATAAAAAAATATGATATTCAAACATGGCACTATCACTTCTGTTTAACGTTTATTCTAATTCCTTAAAGCTCTGTGACATGTCATACATCATAAAAGCTATTTGTATTAGAAAATTTAAAAACAGGGTGATTTAAAAAAACAAAAACAAAAAAAAAACACAAAATCAAGTGTAAAATTTTCCCCATTGCTGTATAAGCAAATGCACAGCGTATAACTTTATAATATCGAGGAAACTCCGTGGTGAAACCGTACACTGATCATTATGGTAAATATTCTGACGACAGAAAATCAAAACGGCGTGAAATTCTACCAAAGCTACTTCTTAAAGAATTAGGCAGTAATTTCCAAACAAAGAGATGAAATGATGTATTGTACCAGTAAGAAAAGTGATTTATACTAATTAAAAATAAAAACCTTACATAACATATTTATTACTTTTGTTTCACTTGAATTGTTTGCGATTACCATCAAGTGAGAAAATATAACTGTCACATATAGTTCTGTTATTTGACCCAGTCTGTCACAGTCTGTCACATTTTTGATTTATAATTATAATTGTGACAACATTTATTTTACTTTAAATAAAAAAACATCAATTGTAAGAACACACACTCGGCAATTAGTGTTTTTTTTAATGAAATGTTTCCTCCTGATACTGATTCAATATACTTATTATTGTTGCATAGCAATGTTTAATTTAGTAAAAAACAGTCTCATGATAAAAAATATTGAACGACAATATGTCTAGATTTTGGAATTGGGTGTATTTAATTCAACGACTTTGAAATAATTTAATTCAGAATTATTGTCTGTCATTTATTATAACAATGGTGCTAACAGTAATGATGATGAATAAATAAGCATATTACATGTGAAGTAACTATGCAAACGTGTATAATGTGCATTTTGTGACAAATGAAGTATAATGTAATTTATCGTTCAAGAGTTTTGAAAAAAATAATTGTTTGGAGAACAAATAACTGTTGAGATTAATTTCGTTTTATTTAGCTGATTAACAAATTCTGTTCATGTTTATTATTATTACCAGCAAATGGATCTATTACTTCAAACAAATTGATATCCGATCATTGCCGGTGTTCGTTAACTGATTGTGACATTACTCAGACCACGTAATAAGCCGTATTCCTGAGTGTAACAAGCCCTATTTGTTACCGGTTACTTCAATCAAATTGTGTTAGACTAACTCTTATTGGACTTGATACGGTATATTTTATATTTTTGATAGGCAATTAGTGAGACAATTATTGGTTTACAAGGATCACTGGCTCTGCCTTTGGCTACATCTCTTTGCTGACAGCATGATAATCTATGAAATGAAACTTGAAAAACTTGAACCTTAAAAACCGATCAACGAAAGAACTTTAGAATAAAATAGAAAACTGGGATAACTTACTTTAAGTATGTAAATGATTTTCAACTGTAAAATAATCAATGAAATCCAAAGCATTATGCAAAATGAAGAATAACGGTTTAAATTGCTTCTTCTGATGTTAAACAATTATTTTTTTGGAATCTTGACATATTGATTAGTTCATTTAATTTTGTTTTTCTACTGCGCCTGTCAAAGAGAGTCACTAGCCTTTTTAACGAGATAAACTGTACTGTGTACCTAAATGTAATATACAAGTAATAGAAAGAGCACCGAAACACGAGGTTATCTGATTTGTACGAGGGGGCGTAGCCCCCGAGTATTAATCAGATTACCGAGTGTTTTGGTGTTCTTTCTCTTTTGTATCACAGTCAAACATAAAAACACGATCCCTTTTGTCACAATATGAAACCCCGGCAAAAATGAACCAATGAACGAACATCTGAATATGATATTTCTGTCGCTTTCACTTTCTCTGCCGTCACAATATGTAAACCCCAGCAAAAATGAGCCAATCAATGGGCATGCTCTGGAGTGCGGGTAACTAATACCCGCACTCCAGTTAACGCACTGTGCATGTATATGTATACTATTTAACCCTGACACATTTTCAACAGAAATGTCTCCAAACTATGATACAATTAAGAATTATGTGCATATAATGTTGTTGATATTCAGTATTTGTCTACTGAACATTGTCTACTGAATACCATAACGAAATCACTTAAAATTCATCGAAGTATTTTAGAACAAGGGGAAACAAGAGCATTACTAAAGTTATATGTTAACAGAAGCATACAGAGTGAATGGATAAATAAGACGATGTCCTTTGATACTTTGACCACGAATTTTCTAACGAGTACTTATTGTAAATTCGAAAAAAGGATAAATACAGAAAATACGTGGAAGGCATATTCATATATTTATGACCGTATCACCGTTTTGAAACAAATCCGTCGCTTATAGAATAACGGATAGAATCAATAGTGATAATTTAGAAGTTGTCACTTGCGATGCTAGGCTCTTCACGACTGATATTTTATCTGTCGTAGTCTCAGCACTGTAGTAGCGGCAAGCCGATTTGATAAATGCTTATCGGTCAGTCCAGGCAATTCGAATATTGTGGAATAAATTTCGCATGAAATGGAGGAATTAGAACGCATTTATCTGTTTTAAACTGTTAGCAACAGTTCTGTGTTTCTAGTTAAATTAAAAATAGGAAAATGTTATCAAGGACTGGTATATTTGACAAATAAAATAGGAAATTTAAAAGGATTATTCTTCACTCACAGACACAATTTATAAACGCTAAATTGCCTTTTGTGCGATTTATCTTGACAAGGCAATTCGGTAAATTGTTTCTACTAAATTTCATCGGATTCCTCGACTGGGAATCACTCGTATTTAGTCTTATTTGAGACATTTTATATCATTATCTTTTAAAAAGAAAATAAATGTTTAAGTTAGCTGACTTCATGTGATAAATACACAGTCAATTATTCGTAAGTTTAAGAGCTATTTTAATGTGAAGCATTTTATGTATTAATTTAAAACTTATTTTTACTATTCGTTTAAATGTATCTTGGAATAAAATAAATTAGAATTAAAAAGTATTTTATTGCATTTATGTTTTTGCAAAAGCCTTCCTATTAAACTTAAACTCTATTTCATATAAAATAAATAAGCAAGTTGGTTTAAAATCTTTTTATAATCATTTTGTACAACTGAGTCCTTATATATATATGTATATACTTTTAAACAAATTATTTGAAAATAATTTCAGTTTATTTGTTAAACATATTAACAAGTTTTATTCGGACTTGGTACATTTTCAAACTGAATTGAGCCGCGTCACGACAAAACCAACATAATGGGTTTGCGACCAGCATGGCTCCAGACAAGCCTGCGCGGATTGATCATGGCGCGGCTCAATTATTTTTTTTTCATAAAAAACGTAAACAAATATAGTATTTGTATGTATGTATGTTTAGATGAATTTTAGTTTTTTTTCCAATACATGATTTTGAAAAGTGTCAGTTGATATTTTTCCAGTACATTGTATGTACTATTTTCAGGCTAAGTTATTAGTTAACGAATTGCTGTTAATTCATTGATTGTATCTCGGTGCAAATAATACGTTTGCCATCTATTTATGCATTTCAATTTATTAACGTTTGACAATTTGAGTTACTTTTAAAGTTAATGAATTTTTAACTAAATTATAAAATTACATATCAAGCATAGCTTACCAAAACATTTGTTGTACAATAGAAAGTTTTAGCATTGCTCTACCAAAATACGTCATATGGTATTCAAATTATATTATCAGGAGCATGTATGTAAAAAAAATAAAAAAAATTGGTTAATTTGTAACGAATTTTGATGTACCAAAATAACTTAAAATGCTAAAAAGAAAACTCAAGGGGAATTATTTTAGAATTAGCATTAGCCCATGACAGTAAAGTAATGTGATAAAACGGATACAAATTAGTATTTCCTAGAAACGATATTTTGAATTAGGAGAAATTAGCACAGTGGAAGATACGGGAGACCGACTGAAGATTGCTTCTGTACGACTCGTTGTATTAGATAGGTTCTCTCTAATGCTTGGAACATTTCATTTGCTAATACTATTAAAACTTTGAAGTACTACCGTCACATGTATTGTTATATTCGTTAAACCATTTATATAAAAGATATTCGCCTCATTCTTAACACTCTTTAATTCCCAATAACATAGTCTTAATAGCATTAACATATACATCTACACATGTATACCATAGCATCAGTTCTATAAGTCAAAAGAAAGTACAAATGACACTAAAAATACACAAGAGAAATGCGGCTTTGCCTTGAAAATATAGTTTATAAAAATAACTTATAATAAGAAGACTAAACCTACGATTTTAATTCCTTCATTCCCAACACATAATTCTATTTTATAGGTATTTAAGCGCTTTGAATGCTTGTTTAGTATTGAAAGTTCGAAGCAGATATTTGATATTTTCGCTATCGTAGTATACTGATGATGTAAAATATAAAAACAAAGATGTTAGAACATGAATGTATATAGCAAAATTTGTAAATATTATTATAATACAAAAACGGTTGTCCAATTCAAAATATGTGTAATATTCTTTCTTAAAATGTATTTATATTCTATAAACCTTTACTGACGCACCCAGTTTCACCAGAGAATCTATTTCAGATTATCCCTTATCCAAATTTGCATTTCAGATTGAGGATGAGGCTATCACAAGTTCTGGTGTTACTCGTGATGATTCATTATTCTTCTGTTAGTATATATGTATAATCTAATATAAATAACTTTAGATATTTAATATTACCGTCACTGCTTTGATGTTATTTAATCAATTTATATATCTTTTCTCTCCGGATAATAATATCATATTGTTGATTAAAACGAAATTGTGAAGAAGGTGAACATTTTCAAAGACAGTTAAATGTTAAAATTAATTCTAGACAAAAATGTTATATCAGACAAAATTAATAAAAGAAAATTAATAAAAAGATTAAACAAATAGAATTGTTTGTGGAAAAAATGTATCAATCATAATATCAATAGATAATGTATTCATCTTAAATGACTTTTATTTTTGGAATTTCAGTGTGCTGTCGGGACAAATATAACAGGTCGATGTAAAGGAAAGATGGGGATTTATGAGAAAGACTATTTCAACAGAAACGCATGTGCCTGGTGCTACTTTTACTTGTTTCGGCGGAACAATTTTATACCACTTTATGGAGATTATTTAACAGTGATGACTAATGGTTCAAAATATCCAATAGGTACACAATTGATTGCCAATCCGCATAACAGTACATTACGACGTCAAGTGTGTTCAACTTTAGATGGGGACGAGTGCGACATATGGACGATTTGTTGTAACGACGCCCGTGCATGTTGTGAAAGACAATTAGCTGAAGGTTACCGATCAGTTAACACTTCTTGCCCTTTAGTGTGGGATGGTTACGCGTGCTGGGATGGGGGAACTCCTGGCAAAAACAGTTATTTGAGCTGTCCGACCTATCTTCCGTATTCTATTCCTACAAGTAAGTACACATCTTTGTTTGATCCAAAACTAGCTGGAACTGAACGTGATAAGTTTTCGGCACTTTTATAAAGCCAGACAAGCCTGCACATTGCTGCAGTCTAACCATACTCTACACTGTAAGTTGAGTGATTTTAATGCTCTTGTTGATATCCTAAAAGAAGATAATGAACTGTCCAAAAATGAATGCATCGCAAGGCTATTTAAGCAATATTTCTGCAGGTTACATGTACGTGTTAATTGTTATGTTCATCTTACCGGTATTCTTATATTAATATTGATAACCTCTGTTTAAGGTTACATTATGCCCATCCAAAGGTATAAATAAGTGAACAGGTTAAAGTCAAAATAAATTTTCATTTTGCCATAATTTCTTTTAATATAAAAAATATTTCACATTAGCAATAAACAACGCGTGGACCCATATAATTTTTCTTTAACATCCATTAGAATTTACCTGTAACGTCCAGTTCATTAAAAGAGTGGGGCAGTCTTTTTATATTTTAGGCACAATTAAATTTTATCCATATATTTTCCAATATGAACTGTTGGTCAATCACCATTTTAACATAATTTTAATATTCTGAAATATTAAACCAATTTTTTAAACATAAAATTTCGATGAAGTTAAGTATGTGTCTTAGCTTAAGAAAAAAATAATCATCCGTTTATATGTTTTCAATTATTGTCTTTAATGATTTAAATTATAATATGTGTGTTTTATTTCACAGTCTTTTATTTTTGCTTGGTTTTAAGTCATACTGACATTTAAAATGTCGTATGATACCTTTCCAGCTTAACTGTTAAAGGAAAATCAAGTGCACTCCGCTCATAAGTTGATTTAAAAAAAGCAGGAGCTAACCTCGTTCCAGCAGCTTAAAAAAAATATAAAAACTCATATGACACACTGTTGATTAATCAGGACATTAGTTTTATCATCAGCATAACATTTATTTTAAAGGTTCAAAATTATTCATGTTATTTTTAAATCTATTCATATCGTTAAAGCGGCGAAAATTGTACAAAAGACATAATTCATAAGGAGTTTAAATCCCTTATGAAATGTTTGACCAGACAAATTACATGTTTTCCAATCTAGGAAAAGATTGTTTAAATTGATGACATCTTCATATCGCAAAATGACTTTAGTGTTTGCTTTGTAAAACCTTTTATATGGAAATGTGTTTGTTTGAATGGAACAGGGCGCCTGTCGATGAAAACCCATTACAACAACTTTTCCCAAGAGATTGACATAAAGCATGTTTCCGATAGCTTACTTCTTCATGCCTTGTAGCAATTATAAATGCATCGAACAATATTTTTTGTCGAGAGGGTGTCTTAAGAGGTAGCACTTATTGATGCAAAAACATATTACACGTATTTAATTCTAAATGGATAAATCATTATACGAATTAAGTGTTTGATTTATATGTGTTTTTGTTAGGTACTTGCTTTTTCACGCCGATTTTAAAGTTGTTTTCCTCCAGATGAGCAATACTATTTCAAGAAATTTAAACTTGAGAAAAAATGTAACAAGATTTTCAGAAAAGTAATACGATTTAAGGTTCAAGTAATTATTTACATCTTATGTGTGATTAATATCTGATATTATAACATTATCATTATATTTGTACCAACGTAGTAAGGGCTAATTTGACTTAATATCTTGAATCTAGAGCAGTCGCTTTAACACGTTTTGGTAATATCTAATTTGTAATTATCAATTGCTTCACAAGTAATCCCATATAATTTCTGATTCAGAATGTTTATTTAATATAAATTATAATATATAAATAAATTATTCATTATCAGTAATGTCCGCGATCAATGATTTATCAGTACTTTAAATCCTTTCAATTTCGAAACCTGAAGTAAAGCGATATTAAAATTTTGTACAGTCAAGAAACAAAATTTCTACATAAAGATATGTTATATTCATCGTAATGACTATTTCAAAATATGCAGTGGCTAAAATGATAAAAATCCACTTCTAAGTCATTTTCCTGACTGTATCCTGTTTTTCAATTATTAGTTTGATTCATAAGGTTATAAATTAATGATCCAATGGCTTTCCTTGTTAAGAATTGGGAGTAGTCCGTTTGAAATTAACGGGATTTTAATATCATAGTGTAGTAATGGAGATTCCTACAGAATAGAGCCTGGTCAAGCTGCAATGTCATACTGCCTGACCTGGTTCCATATTCGTGGCGAGCACATCTTCTTCAGTTTCTACAGGTTAATGGGTAATACAGGAGCAATTTATGACAAATATAAGGAGTATTAAAATGATATTCTACCACGATGAACATCTTCATGCAGTTATGCACACATCAGAATCATCGACCAAGTTTATTGATTTTTGCATCCACAATTTCTGTCTTTTTTGTTTATTTTGTTAAAAGGTGATGGCAAGATCTAACTGCAAATAAAGCAAATGTAATTAATGTTAGCGAGATATTTTGTCGTTCTCACAGGTAACAGTCTGTGATTAAAGAAAGATATGTTAAGAAAACTCTTTCTTCTTTTTTATCAGGTGATAGAAAATCATGCAATTTCTAATACTTAGGAAAATATAATACAAAATGATTGTTAAGCAATACCGCTTTTGTTGACAAAGAACTATATGGTATTCTAGAAACATCATAATTTCAGAAAATCATTTATTGAAAACGAAGTCATTAACTACAAAAAATGTCATTAGGAACATTACAACATAACCTTCGCCTGCAAAATTATTTGACAAACATACAAGTCATTTAATCTTGAAAAATGTACATGCTAGCCAAGGATTACACTGTAAAAATACGGTACATTTTCAAACAAAGGAATATATTTACTTACTTTTATTACTACATGTCATTTTGAACCAGAAAGATATACTGTATGCTTATTATCAAGCAACTTTCTTTTTACAGAAATGGCTGTAAAACACTGTCGTGAAAACGGTACATGGTTTACAAAAGATGGACGTGAATGGACGGATTATACTTCTTGTCTTATGTACAAGGTATTTCTTTCTTTATTTATGTTATTCGGTGACATGAACCATCAAATAATTTCAACATAAATCAATGGCTGCATTACTTTTTTCTTCATTATATCCGTTTATTTTGAGGATTTAACTTTGTTATCTACTAGCTAAAGTACTGTTCTAGTTTTGTTTCGTTTATTTCCAAAAATTTACTTTGCAGCTAGCTAACAAAAAAGATCATTTAGAAGGTTTGACTAAGGTTTATTTTTACTTAATTTGTTTAACATGCGATTTAGACTAAACTTTGATCAAAAAATTGTGTATCATGTCAATCGTGCAAAATAACATAAATACAAACAACTAAACGCTGTCAAGTCAAAAAAGGCTGATAATCGCACAAAAATCGATTGTTAATTTTCATTTGCATACTTTAACGTTTTAAATGACCCAGTGGATCTATGTAATAATTTCAAATTTTATGTGTCTTATGTTTCTATGAGTTTTTGAGCTACTTAAAATATATTTGCAGTAACCTAGCAATTAATAAACTGGCTGTAAATATCTTTACAATTTCCGAGTTAACGAATGTCACTTTTTTCATTAATTAATTAATTCATTAATTCATTCATTTAATCATGGCATTTAAATCATTTTACTTTTAAGTGAGTCAGTCGTTCTCATCGTTGTTCATTTTCAAGGTTTTATAGTAGTATTTGAAAACAAGATAAATAAAATATTGTTAAACCCATGTGTTAATAATGTTACTGAAAACAAAGATTTAATTTAATTTTTTTTATTATTATTATTTTTACAACTGGAAATTAAACACGTGCGTTACTTTTCCTTTCATTAATACGGAGCATTTTGTTCACACTTCAAAAGAATTTGTACATTGCATTTCCAATGTTACTTTTAATTTCGCTAACGTCTCGTGCAATAACCGACTGACAGCTGTGTACTCCTCCGATAAATTGTAATTGTTATAAGAGCACCTGATCTCCAAATTATTTATATGTTATTCAAGAAAATGAAATTGAAGTATATCATGTTTTGTACAAATTTACAGCATACTGTCACTGATTTTACAAATGATTTATACATAAAAGCAGCTAAAACAGCCTGACAAAAAAATGGGCAAATGAATTACCTGATATTACTAAAGAGGCAAATCAATTTACCGTACCGGTATATGGTTGGAACTTCATCTGTTGTATTATTAAGACAAATCATTTTCACTACATATTTCTATCTAAGTATACATTTTAAACACAGTTACGTTAGAAAATGGCAAAACAAGGATGCAAATGTCCTCTTTATGAGCAATAATATAAATAATTAGAATATATTATACCTCATTTGCATACGCCCTTCTATATTTAATATGACGTCATCCGGTCCATAAACCGCATACAGACCGGGGGCGGTCCATAATTCTTATGAAGACCGTTTAAACGTAACTTTCACGACGTGCGAATTTCACGACGACACAAACAGACGATAACTGTCAAAATGGCCAGGCGATTCGCCTTTTTATCAGAGACATAAATTTATTACATGTTGATCAAAAGTCATGATTTGTCTTTAATTTAATTATAAATTTTATTTATACAGTTTGTGAAATTCTTAAAGTCCGGGTTTTTTGCCTAGTAACATTAAATATTTAATTTGATTAACAAAAATGGAATATTAAAAGAAGAGCATGATTTTTTGCTGCATCGCTTGAAAATAATAAAACAAAATCCGACTAGGGTTTGAGATATTTCACACACTGAACAAGTAAAATTATTATTTGAAAGCAAATAATAATAAAATGACAGCACAAAACAAATGGATTAAAGGATTTAGATTCGGTATAATATAACATATAAAACATGGCCTTTCGGGCAAAAGCCCTCAAGCCCACGTTTTATTTGTTAAATAAAGCTGTGTATAAGTATCAAAAATTTACACACCTCCTCTATTGTTTGTGACAGGTCTATATTTTTCGGATAGATCTGTTTAAACAAAAGAAAGTCCGTAATGAGGTCTATCTTTTGCACGTGCACAGGTCTGTTCTAGTCAGACAGACCCGGTCATGAAATACACGTGAAAAATAGACCTGTCTATGCGCAGACAAAGAAAACATGAAATGCAATCAAAAATTAAAACCCTTTTAACTAAGCAATTATTCCAGCATCCCTATATTAAATATTTCAATAAAAATAATAGACAGCATGTTAAAGTTAGGACACATTTAACATTTATTTAATCGCGTCATTTTTTAAAGTTATAGTAATTCTGTCATTAAGTTCTTTATATAACAAAATGGACGCTTTAAGTTCATATCTATGAAACTATATAGCAGAAATCACAGCATACTCATTACGATTTTAAAATGTAAATAAAGTTATTAGTGATTTAGTTTAAAACATTTTATGATGAACGGTCATATTTTATTCTAGAGCACTTTATAATCTGCTATATAAAATATAGTTTCGGTTCATATATTTCACACTTGCCAACAATATGCATATTATGTAAGTCTTTCGTGGTCTGCTGAGTATCCACACATTGCTCTTCGGACAGTTGCCCCCTCGGAAGTTTGCCTCCTTTTTGCAATGGCGGTCATTTGCCCCCTCATATTTTTGGAAGGGCGGACATTTGTTCCCCACTCCCTGTTTTAAAAAAATTATTTTATTGTTGAATTGTTTGCTTCCATAATTCATCGCCTATTGTTGAAATATCATTGTGCTTAAATACACAAAAACTCTCGCGCAAATTTGTGAAAGTCAAAATAGCATCCATAAATAAACAAGCAAATTCGTTGAATTAATATTCCCCGTCGAGTACTGGTTATTACTAACACAACAACTGAAGACATAAGGCTTTATTTATATATTTATCATGGCATAAACAGTAATATTCTTTGTACTTGATAAATATTCAGGGCAATAACTGACCAATAACTCTGTGTTAAATAGTAATCTCCTCTTGGTATTAATGGTTTCCATAAAGTTTAATTGAATTCCAGCCAGTAGTTGCAGAGAATTAGCGCGGAAACGAATATTGTTCTATATGCATACTGCATAACTAATCAAGGGCCATAACTCTAAGTTAAAGTATCTGACCGGAACAAGCTGACAATATGTGCATCTCCTTTTGGTATTGAAGGTTCCCATAAAGTTTTGTTGAATTTTAGCCAGTAGTTGCAGAGAAGTAGTGCGGAAACGATTTTTACCCTATATGCATTCTGCATAACTGATCAAGGGCCATAACTCTGAGTTAAAGTGTCTGACCGGAACAAGGCGACAATATGCGCATCTCCTCTTGGTATTGAAGGTTCCCATAAAGTTTTGTTCAATTCCAGCCGGTAGTTGCAGAGAAGTATCGCGGAAAAGATTTTTACTCTATGTGCATACTGCATAACTAATCAAGGGCCATAACTCTGAGTTAAAGTTACTGACCGGAACAAGGCGACGATATGCGCATCTCCTCTTGATATTGAAGGTTCGTTTCCATAAAGTTTCGTTGAATTCCAGCCAGTAGTTGCAGAGAACTAAACGAAATTCGGACGGACGGACGGACAACGCCAAAACAATATTCCCCCTTCCGATTCCATCGGCGGGGAATAATAAAACTAAAATGTTTCCATTGGCATACTTAAAATCTATATACGAGCTGACAAGTCACAGGTCACAACGGCCAAAAAGGGTGCAAACGTCCGGGAGGGGGGGGGGACTGTCCTAGAATCTGCATTGTTTGATACGAAATACTATGAACATAATTATTCATTCTTTAACATACCTTCTATTACAGATCTATTCACTTTATAATTGACAATTTGCCCCTTTAGTTTTTTTTTTATTTTAAAGGGGAAAGCAACGTATATATTGTATTTAAGCAGAACGTTGATAAAAGCTTACCTGTATATGCGTTGTGTTAAAAATAATATTTGTTCATTTCATCAAATGCTTCAAATCAGCCATTGCTCAAGCCAATATAGTTTTAACGGTGTGTAAGTTGGATATCGGCCTCGTACATCGATCTTTCTGTTTAGGAAAGACCTCGTACTCGGTCGATATCCTATACATATATTATGAAATTGAAAGTAGATAAAGGATGTATTACATAATTAATATCATATCAAGCTTTGTAAAACGACACTGAAATTAGGTTTTAAACTATTAACATTGATATTTTGTTTAGTTTAAAGGTATAGATTTAACGATTTTGTTCCTGGAACCAACCAGTTCTGAGCAATAAGTGTAATGGTTTATGCTTAAGGAAACGACGGCCTGTTCATGATGAGGTTTGGAACCACGCAGTTGGCGATGATTCAATTTATAGTCTTGCACGTTAACATCATGGCCATGTCACAACACTCAATAATTTATTTTATATCTTATCGTTTTACTTAGTGTACATTAGATTTGTATTATATGCTAGTGATTTCATTTCTTACATCATTTTAACAACCGAAGTATGCAAGCATTGGAAAAGGTGCCACTAACGCTGTTTTAAGAGATTTTGAAATACGTATCATCTCATTTGTCATAATATTGTGCTATATGACCCATATTATCAGGCGTTTATATTTGAAACAAGTTAAACAAACCATATCTATTATTTACTTATAAATAAAATATTGAGAAATGTTGTTGAAATAAAATTGGTATTTTTATTTTCCATATTTTAAGTTTATTATAATTTTCACTCTTGTGTTCCCGATAACATGGAAGTCGCCATATGAAACACATCTGCGGCTGTTATTTAATTCAAAGTTTTATCATTTCCTGTTGAAATGATGTATTGCTTAAACCAGTGCTGAGTAGCATGGGCTGATACTTGCTTTTTCATGGTCTGGCTCAATCATACCAAGTCTGCATCATTTTCAACATTTTATCTTTTTGAGCGTTATTTAGGGATTCCTTTTTATTTCTTAGGCTAACAGAAAGTAACATTCAAGTTAACTATATGAGTCTTGTCAAATATGACATGCATTGCTGGAAGCCCTTCATATAATATCTATCAAAAGCAGGAACGATTGGGTCATTGTGTTTTTAGAAAAATAATCCTTCCCTTTTTTACTGATTTTAGGAGCATGTAACTGTAGTTATTCTAACATGTTCCTTTTTCAGGAGATACGTGTCACTATTTACATATCAGTTGGCTGTCAGGTTGCAAGTTTACTACTATTGGTCCCATCTGTCATCATATTCCTCTTATATAAGTAAGTGTTCTTTAATATTCTACAATATAATGCTTATTTACGTTATGATTTGCACAATTTATTATTACAAGAGAACCTCACCGTTGTGGGTTCGTATCCCGCCTTGGACCTCGGACCCTTTAATCTGAGGAAGTCATCCAGTTCGGTCATGGAAGGTCGTTGGAACTACTCTGATGTTTTCCCGTACCTGAAATAATTTACAAAAGGAAACCTGACGTCTTTCTCCATCAAAAATGTTTTAATGTTGTCCTATAGCCATAAGTGTGATTTAAAATCCTACTAATTGTCTAAAATTGTTAGTGTCTTGAACAGTTAACGCATGTATTTCAGGAATTTAACGTATTTGTTTGTGTATTGTTTGATTGGGTTTTATGTCACACTGACACAGTATAGATCATATGGCGACGTTCCAGCTTTACTGGTGGAGAAAGACCTCAGGTGCTCTTCCTGGCATTATTTAAGGCACGAACGGGCACCTGAGTAGAAATACCGACGTTCCATAAGCTAGCTGGATAGCACGAAAGAGAAAAAAGTCCCTGTAAGGGATTCGAACCCACAGCGGTGTGGGGCAAATGGTTTGAAGTCAACTACCTTACCACTCGGCCACGGACGCCCCGTTTGGGTATTGAAAAAACACTTCTTTCAAAGGGTAAATTATTTCTTGAATCTCAAAAAGAAATTCTACAATTTACATTATATTTTCTGGTAAAAAAGACTATAATTTCATGCTGTTTATAAGTGTGAGATACATGGGGTCAGACATGACATGTATATAAATAGCAGATAATAAAACGCTCTATGACTCATCATGTGAGTGTATATACTAAATTACTTATAATTCGATCAACACTTTTTTCGAGTTATTTTATAATACTATGCAAATGATATTGTGTCTATTGTAATCCATACTACTTTAAGTACAATGAGATAACGGTTTGTTTAGAAATAAATTTTGAACAATTCTCCTGAATTTAATACACCACATATTTTTATCTCTTTAAAAATTAAATCGTTCATTAGAATGACTGTTCTGTACAAATAGATTCGTAAGAACATTTTCTTGGTACCGAAACTACCCTGACTGCATTTTTGTCCTTAATTAATACTTTTATTGCATTCCGTGAAATCTTTCTTAAGAATTTAAGACTCTATAGCGCCAACAAAACATTTTCACAATAGTAATTGCAATGCGTTTACAAAAACGTTAATGCTCGTTTGTTATCTATTTTACAGGAATCTAAGACGGCAACACAGAATCCGAATTCATATCAACTTTTTTATTTCATTCATCATATGTAACACACTTGGGCTTATGTGGAATCTCTTTGTAACATACGACAAAATTACCAACCGCCATATGAAAGACACACTGATGCATAGGAATACAGTAAGAAAGAACATATTTTAGAACTGTAGTTAATGAATATTTTGCAAAAAAACTTTACCTTTTCTGTGTCACAAAAATATTTCTAAACTGAACCTGATATATGTACGAATTTTATTGTTATACATGTAGTATCAAAGCCATTAACTTTACTTCACAAAGCATAGCTATATCAAACATCTCCTGTAGCCCGGTCAAATTCTGATACCTAACAATTATTATTTGGAATAAGAGTATATACGGATATGTTCATAACTTTATCTTCTAATTATTATATATTATATAATTGAATTTATCTAATGGATAAATTATCAGATCAAAGTAAATAAGGGTTCGTCTACGATATATATATGTATATGTACAAAACTTTAATATACTATTGCAACTCGTATAAGTTTATGATTTTCATCCCTTCTTCTGTTCTTTTTTCAAAACTAAAACATTGTCACTCGATTAATAGTAAGATTTTACTGTTACTATGCCTAGAAAAATTAACTCGTTATCTACCAAAACATAACACGCATGTTCAATTATAAGCACATAAACTAGTTTGTTTTTTTTCAGGCCACTTGCAAATTGTTGTCTTTCTTGAAGCTGTATTTTGCAAGCACAAACTATTCGTGGATGTTTTGTGAAGGGTTTTATCTTTATCGACTGATAGCAAATGCTTTCTCTCCTCCAAAAAAACTTCTGTTTATATATTTAGCAGGTTGGGGTGAGTAAAATAGTTTTTTCAGTAATACTAGAGAATATTTAAAGCCCATTAGGCCTACAAATGATTTATTTATATTTTTAAAAACCTTTTTATTATTGTTTGATGTCCAGTTAAAGATTACAAAGTGTTACTCATTGACTATATAGTTGAAGCATTTTTTGCGTTTGTCAATTGATACATAAGTACAGTAATACTGATAAAGTATTTTTTGTGAAAGTCTAAATGCAACTTTTTACCATTATCAGAAATTTGTTAACATTCGACATTGTTTACAGCAGATGATGTTTTTTAAAAAATATATTCTTAATATATAATTACCACGTTATAAAGCACACGTTTTCCCATCTACAAAAGTATTGAAATATTTATTTCTAAGACTTAGTGTGCCTTAAAGACTGTGACCTTCTATTTAAGATACACTACTCTCTGAACTTGTTAAGGAAAGATAAAAGGTTTATTTATAGGAACATAAATTGTCTGGAACTGCACGATATTGAAATTATGACATTTGACATGATAAAAGATAGACGCAAGATTTAGGCATGACATTAGGTGAGGATTGCAATAATTAATTGGAAATGGACATTTGATAGCATATACAATGTCTTTGACATTGCAACAAGAAATTGCGATGTATATGATATGTAAATATTGATGTGTGGTATTTTAGTCTACCTCGTAACATATCAACGCATTAGATTAGTATGAGTTAGATATTGAACTGCCACATATAGATGAATTTGATTTTATCATATTTTCTGACATATAGTTTGTATCTGTATGTGTATATTTAAATTCTAGGTATTCCGTTACTATTTTGCGGAGCATACGCAGTAATTAGAGTAGTGTCCGCAAATGAAAGGTTTGCATTGTTTTCTGGTTTTTATTTCAAACTAACTGAGAAACTGTATTAGACAGCAGTATTTTAATGGACACATATTTTAATATATTAGCAAATATAAAACTTATAGTTATTTTGCTGTTGTTTCAATGTGGTATCAGTTGTGAAAAAAAAATCTTGAATAATAACAATATTGTAAATGTCCGAAAATTACCTTAGACGTAACCCCTTTTCTCTATTTCCTAGGTATGTATATATGATAATTAAGTTAGTAATGCATCATTGACATGAACCTGTTGTTGAAAACTGGTAAGATAAATTCATGGTATGTCATTTGTTAAAGCTTCTAATATACTAGTAATCATTTTTAACTGACATTTTGTCAATGCAAAAATAAACACAACAAAATATATATATATATATATTAAAGATATGAAATTAAATTTTCTACATGTTATGTGTATGTTTCATTTATTCCTGTACTAACATGATCATGTTACAGTTGCTGGGCTATCAGTATTGGGGACAAGGAATATATCATATACGCACCAAACTTGGCTTGCCTTACAGTAAGCACTTTTATCTCACCTTTTGTATGATTTATTATAAATGTATACTTGTAAGTTTTCTTGTGAACATACAATCATCTTCGACAAACGAAATACGAAAGTCTGTATATGTATTCAATATTTTATATTCATTTACTACCTTGTGTTATATGTCAAACGTGATGACGAACTTCCTCTTCCTATTGCGTTCGTAAATGTCCGAAACCCACAGAACGTCGGGAAAAACTGAAAGGTGTTTTTATTGGTTGATCTGTTAAATATGCCAGAATAACTATGTCAATCCACCAGAATTGCTGATACATTAGATTAACATCCTCAAATGCATTTTGATTACCCAATGAAATGTAACATGTTTTTTTTTTATAAATAAAGCCTGAGTCATGTTTTGGTTTCAAAATCGATAATCTTCTGTTAGTTAATATCATCTGAAACATAAGAAATTTTAAATGACAAAAAACATGATTTAAGTTTTACTTAATAAATCTTAATTTAAAAAATGTATAGCGTTTCATTTTGATTTTGTACGTATATCGTTATACAGTATTTGAATATGCGTATTGTTTTCTTAGACCTTAAAGTCATGTTGCTGTTAAGATCTTTTTGTTTCTATTTTATTTATCATTCACGTACAGCTTAAGTGTATATTTAAGTGTATAACTAGAGTGTCACTTAATCCGTTACCAAAAAATATTCTGTTGCATTGATTTAACCATTGTTTATTTCAGATCAACATTTTCTTCTTGTGTAGTATTCTTCGAATTTTGTTAACACAACTTCAGGCACACCCAAATGAACCGAGTAATTTCCGGTAACTATATTTTATTTGCAAAACCTATATTTATAAACGCTACATTGGTAAGAAATAACCTTGTCTGGAATAAGCTTAAAATTAAAGATTTTGTGTGCAATTTTTTCATAACAAGCATTTAAATATCAAAATTGTTCGTCGTTCGAAAAATTGTACACGCTCCATGTTTTTGTTTACTAACTGCAAAACATATTAATTAAAATCATCGATATCGAGTTAGCAAATTTATTCGTTTTAGAATAACGTTTTAAATTTAAAGCGTTATCTGATAAGTGCTTTGATTATTTTTTTCATCATAGCGAACAATGGAATGCCTTAAGATCGTTCATACGGCAGGATTAAAATGTTGCAAGCTAAGTTTTAACGTGCATGTTCATTGACGACAGAGCTTATGATCACCTCCTAGCATTCTGAAAGAAGGTATTCCAACTTAAACATGACCCTTTAGAAATAATGCTCATAATCTTTGTTAATTTTTCTTTCATTATTTGTAATTTCAGTCGTGCCTTGAAAGCAACATTTGTTCTTATTCCACTTTTTGGTGTTCAACTGGCCATTACTATATACAGAAAGGAGCCTCTCAATCAAGTGGCTGTACATTACGAGAGATTTACAGAAATAGTTATAAACTCACAGGTATATTCGTGTACTTAATTCGTTTGTTTGACTTGGGTTATTGTTATTGTTTGGGTTATTTTTGACGCCGATTTTCACATCTCTGTGGTCGGTCTACCTTATTGTCTTTTCTGGACAAATAACCACTTATAAATACCATCTTCTCTGCAACAAGTGACCAACCTCTTATCATACATGATTTCTTAATCAGCGATGTAGGACAGGGTACCATAAGACTTAATACCATTAATCTGTTGAGATAAATTTCGCCGGCGAGTTATAAATTTTACGACATGCTCAACACCACACACTAAATAGATAATTATAAACTTAAATAAGTTCAAAGAATACAAACTTTAAGCAACACCAGGGGTCAATTCCAGCAGGTGAGGTGGTTTGACTACTTGTGTTGCTTAAAGTTTGTTACACCCGAAGATAGTCAAAATCATCTTTCATGATTCGGCACTATATCACTTAAATTTTGTTCGTGCGCCCTAAAACCAAAAAAAGTATTAAATAAATAATAATTATCGCATTTGAAGATATAACAATTATTTTTTATTTTAATTTTTATAGTTGTCATTCAGCACATTAAACATTTTTAAAATTGTCGGTTTCTCATTTAAAGTTTTATTTTCCTTGGCTATTGCTAAAAAATTCTGGAAACAAAGTGATCCCTCGGAAGCATTAATCACAACAAAATAACATAAGAATTGCAGACTCGGTGTCATTGAGACATACATGCTGACTAAGTCTTTACAATGTTATTATCTAACGAAAGCCCATCTTTCTTTCAGGGACTTATTGTTGCACTGATATTCTGTTTTTTCAATGGAGAGGTAAAATGTTCTCATCTTTTAAAAGCATATTTCTTACAACATGTTTTTCCATTCAAAACATATGTCGACCCTCTTTGCTCTGGGTCCGAATCCCGCGAGAGACTTTTCATTCTTTTGTGTGAGGCAGTTTGCTTACGGAAGGTCGGCAGTTCTACTTAGCTGCTCAAACGTGTCGAAGGGGCACCTGAGATCTTTATTCACCAATTAAGCTTGAAAAATTCGAAACGGCCTGTTGGTGTGCATGAAAATCTATTACACAAATGAAACAAAAATTACTGATTTGCTTTAAACAAGATCAATTGATTTTACGTCCATAAACATATACAGTCGATCAAATATTCAAATGCAATGGTGAAAATGTTTACATGAATAGCTCAAAGAATATTTCATAGATTCATATTTTGTGTGGCTAAGTTCAATGCAATTATAACAAATGATACAGAATATGGATATATACATGTATTGATGTTAACACGTTCACAGTGCATTAAGTTATGTAGAAACATATTCTAATTTAAGTGTCATATTTTACAGGTTGCAACACAAATCATGAGATCCATTAGACGCTACCATATGGAAAGACATTCTAGTTCAAAACGGTTGAATGCCACATTGAGTCTTCACTTTAATAACTCAGTTGGACAAAGAACAGAAATTACTAATTCTAGGAAAGATAGTTTAGAACCTTGTTTAAGTGATGGGCTAAGTCCTTCAACGCCCCATTCCCGTGAATCCCAGCCACTGTAAACGTCTGCAGTTAATACGTCTATCAGAATGTTTAAATCGAAATTCTTGTACTCTGTATTTCAAACGTTTTTTAAAGATATATTGCCCCTACGTTTTCAAATTGTCTTAATGAGGTATTATTAAACGTGTGTGCGTCAGATACTGTTATAGTTTTCTTTCCGTAATCAACAAAATTATCTACAATGTTGGTGCTATTATCTTGCATTAATTCCCTACCCCGAAAGTACCAACAATTTCAGTTAACCCTTTTTTGTTATTTTTCCCCAAAAGGGAAAGTTCTTTTGATTTATTTTTCGAATTGGATATATCTGTAAGCATACACGTTTGTGTCAAAAAAGTGATGCAAAAAAGTGATGTTCACGAAAACTTTGCCATCGTTGACTGATATCATAACATCATTTAAGTTTTAATTTTGTTATCAAATGACATCACTAATTTGAAACGTAACATTTTAATATATAATCGACATTGCAACTTCTCCATACAGTTCTGTCTTGATGTCTGATCTTAAAATATTTAGGCTTTCATTTTGTCTTTTTCTTCATATTTTCTTAAAACAACATCAATATAAAAAACTCACTTATCCGTAAGAACGTCAACTGGCGAATACACTTTGAAAAATGCACTTCACATGATTGGTTACGACTTTTCTTGGAATTTGATATATCGTGTGTTGACGTAGAATTTTATTTCTATTGTTAATTATAATATTGACATACTTACATTCGTCCAAAAATATTATCTAGCTTGCTAACAATTGCCTAGACTAATATATGTCTGAAAAAATGACAACGAATGTAAGATCCAATATTTTACCCTTTGTTCATGTGTATTTTAATCAAACTTCGACCAAAAAACTAACAGATAGGGTCAGGCATGAGGGCAAGAAGACTCTATGAGACTAAGAGTAAATGACATTTAGCAATTCGTATAACTTTGTATAACCAGCTTTACAAATTTAAAACTTACTCTTGATCTTTACATCAACGATTGATTTTGCTATTTGATTTTTCCCAGTTTAAAAAATATTTCTTTGAATCAACGTCTAATTTTAATGAAACTGCTCCAATAGGCATAGCGTTTCACGTTTTTGTTTATGCATATGAACCTAAATTAATGTCTGAATTAATGAAGTAGTGTATGATTAAACATGTATGTCTAGTCGACTGTATTACAATAAAATATTTTTGTACGATACTGTTGTTTGCTGCCATGTATTTTTTTATTGATGGAAAACAATTCTATTTTCTATTTTAAATCTTTGTTTTCTTTTTGTTTAAATATGACTACTTTGTAAATTGTTTTATTTATTGTTAAGGTAACATACACTGTATATAGATTTTATTGTTGTATGTCATTCCCGTTTTGGTAAAGTAACTTTGCCATATGAATTTTAATAAAATAAAATTTCTTTATTATTATTTTGTTATGTACATTCAGTCACGAATCAAATTAAATGTGCTGCCATCATTCATTTCCTGAAGGAAATATCCAATTAGATTTTTGTATCTGGAACCCCTCGCCGATAAATCATAATAATGTCGGAGCTCATACAGATTGACAGTAGTTCTAACAAGTGAGTTTAGATTTAAACTAAAACAAAAGGAATGAGTAACGAATGTACTTATTAGACATCAAACGGCAAATAAAGTTTATGTCCGTAAAAATTTTATGGGAAAAATATGTTTGACAATCAGGAGCAATTTAATAATGCAAATTGATGTACTATTACATCTTATTCAGAGATATCGTCAATTAGTAAACATTTGTCAATTGTTTTCTACAAAATAAACACGCATGTTTGTATGATTATTTAAGTTTTGTACCATAAGTAGACCGAAATATCGTTACGGTTGTGTAATCCATTCCATGTCCTTATCCGAAGATTGACGAATCGGAAAGTTGCGACTTAGATTTCCGACGTCATTATGACGTTCATAAGCTCTCATTTAATCAGATACTGCACTTGTTAGTTTGAAATGTGAAACTGTCGCGATATTGCTTGTAAAAGAGATAAGAGGTTTGCCATTACTCTTTGTCAAATAAACAAACAATTGAGTGTCAGATTTAATGTCTTATTATTTGTTGAATACTCTTCGTGGTTTGGAGATAGCGATAGTGTGTTAAAGAAATAGTTTTATCCAGATAATAATAGTAATAGGGCCTAATACAAACACGTTAAAGAATACTTTTACTTGAAAGAAAATACGCCTGTCATTTCAACAAGAGTAACTAAATAAATAAGCCTAAACTATGCACATATAAGAAGACAATTCAAACTACTGTTTAAACAATCGATTCAGTCATCTTAAGAACTTGTTTGATTTAGATATAGAGGATATTTATTTGTTTTGCATAGTGAACACCAAACGGATGGCGTGAGCATACATACAAAACAAACAAAATGTAATGCTTTTCTTAAATATTTTAAGTAATTGTGACTGATTTTTCCGTGTATGTTGTCGTGACGTTACCATCTTTATGTTGAAAAACAATATTCTGGTTTAGTTTTCGAATATTGTTACATTTTTAACATGCTGTTTGCCAACTTTAATTTGCTTCCTGTTGTCATTCGCAATTTACTTACAACGGAATGCATTTCTTATGAAATTTCAATTCATTTTTTATTTATTTATTAAATCTGTATTCAAATATAGTTCGGTTACAGTTAAAATAAAATCTTGACAGTTTTGCTTATAGTAATCTACAAGTACAAATATAAGTTTGTACAAAACAAATCAAAAATTGTTATGACCAAAATCAGGCTTTTTATTTTAAGCAATACAAATTAAATTAAAACTTTTTAATTAATTTTCTATAAATACCTCCACATCAAAGTGTATTTTCTCAGTCCAAATATTAGGTACTAAGCACAGGGTTTTCAACCTCAGTGTGTCTGGTGTGCGGTATTTTCTTACGTGATTTAAAAGCCATTCAAATACAATGTATGTACAACATATCGTAAATACTATGTTAACTTACAATCGTAACAATAAAACAGCATATTAATTGATATATGACAGACAGGAAACATGTTTTTTGCTCTTTTATTTCTCTCTAGGTGGTCATTATTATGTTGATACAAAAGAGAATCGTCTAGACAAAGTGATACGGCTTGAATTATATTAAAATTAACATATAATGACTAATTACTGTTTTTAAAATACACGTATAGTTTCCACCAGTGAACGAATCATATATTCATTGTACCTTTATTTCCTGCATTAAAAATATCTTCTTTTTTTTAAAATGTATCTTTGGATTTATCTAGTATATGAACCTTGTTCATGCATTACTGCATTACTGCGGTAGGACCTTGGAACATATAGCTACATTATTAAAATATATTCAGCTATTTGTGTTTCATTCTGCATTTTTCTTATGTAGCGGTTTGCCTGCCCGTGCTCTGCCTTGTGCCCTGTCCTGTTTTTGTTTGGGGTCTTCCTGGGTTCCTCGCCACTGACTCTTGTTACTGGGTCGGATGGGGGCTGCGTTCATTGAACACCGCCTTTCCTTGTTGATCTTGTTTATCATATTTAACTACCAAAGCGGAAAAATGAAGATCAACACCGTAACCAAAATTTACTAAGTATTTTTTCTAAAAATTTTAATGACCGATTAATAAGCATAAATAAGATAGTATCTACTAAAACATATGCAATAATCAATTATTATACATATTTTATGCGACTTTACATTTAGTTAGCTTTTATCAGGAAAAAATGGACATTAGACAAGAAATAAAAATGTTGGTTTATATTCAAATTCACGTACATCGTCTAGCCTTAAGACTCAAATTATCTTGACATTTTTCAGTTCTTACAGATTATATAACTTGTGTATCTTCATTTTTGTTAAGATATTAAGCATTGAATATATATTTACGACACCTCATTTATTCCATATTGAACATACATGGCATGGCTTTATACGGTCGAGCTTTCCGGCAGCTGATCTCAAGACAGAGAAAGAGAGAGATCATCGGTTATGTCATCCAGGGGTCAGATGTTTGATGCTCTGGCGTTGCATAATTTCTCCATGACAACTGATTTCGACATGATTGTGTCTCATCATTCAGAAAGCATTTGTAATTTGCGGCCGGTCACCTGTTCGTTAACCAGGAGGCTGGTAAAGTGGATCGACTGACCTAAATACGTTAAAATCGACGTAAAAACAAAAGAAACATACAAACTTTAAATACATTTTGCCCTAAAAATGCTAAAAATTATACGGCTTATACTCATGCTTTTTGTTTTTGAAACGGTACATGGACAAATCATACAAATCAAAAACAACCCATACACTGTCAATAATGCTAAATTCAATTTAAACAATATACGAGTAACTATATACGTGTCATAAGCATTCATAAGCATGTAGAAACGTTTTCCATTATTTCTAGTAATAGAATTTTTCAGAGATGTTAACAAGCTGACAAACACATAGAAATACGGCCATTGAATGCAAAATGTACAGCCAAAAGTTTTACCAGATAAATCAATTAATTGTTTTTTAGCAAGCCAAATGATTTGGTTCAGTTCTGAAAAGATATTTTTGCCTGAAATGGCTCTAGTATACAATGAATACTTTCATTTGAAATAAACAAAGCGAATACTTAGAATAACGTTCATTGAAACCAAATATTTTAGCAGATCTTTCTCTGCCTACTTAAATCAAGACAATAATTTAGTTACATCTTCTTTATGTTACCAAATGCGCTACAAAGTAAATGTTAATATCATATATTTAAAACGATATAGATAATTTGACTTTTATATCATTTTTATACAAGGTTGTCAATTTATGAATTAGTTTTACTCAACTTAAGGAAAGTTTGCCTATTATAAATTCGTTATACGTTTATATAACAACAAAATTCTTATTATTTCGTCAATGGTCGCATATACATGGCAACAGATTATTGAGAAAAAAAGCAACATGAAACAATTTTTAACATAACAAACACAACAAAAAGACAAGAGCGTTTTCATCAACAGCATGCCACTTAACTATGATTGTTATAAAGTATCTTAAATTCGAATAAATACATGTACTAAAGAGACAAATTAAACACAGATATAGTAAATTAAATGACTTTAACATGGTTAGCAGAGAAAAAAAGAGCATAACATTTTTACATTAAAAAAAATAAAAAGTAAGAGAAAAAGAAACAACATAAAACGCGATTTTTACGAATACGAATACTACTACATGTTTCTTGCATTTTAAC